TTAAATAGCTCGACTTAATCTTCTAGAACCTTCTCGAACTGTCCAGATTTTTCTTGACATTGAATGATATTTCTCGAATATTCTGTTTTCTTCTTTTATTCGTACCTATACTTGTGACTACTGCAGCACGCTGCAGGATGCTGCGTAATAATATATAAAAGTAAAGAAGGAAAGTTGATAGTAGGAAAAAAATAAATACTGAAAATAATATTTTGAAGAGCTGTTAAATCTAAACGGCAGAAGAAAAAATAGAAGAGAAAGCAGTAATAATGATATAATCCTGGATGAACAAAAAGTTCATGAACAAGAAGTTCATGGAGGAAAAAGAAATATCATACATAAACTTAAAGCAATAAAACGCCGACAAGGAAGACATAACACCTGAAATGCCCAAATTTGGAGAAAAAAAAACTAATTACATGTTGTATTCACAGACTAATAAAAGAAATATGGCTACAGGAAAAAATACGGAAAATATGGAACGAAATAGAAACTATAAAGTCATAGCTTTATTAAATATAGTTCATATTATTCTAGTTTCCTATACAGGGTCCCTATACTATTTTATAGGAACATTATTCCTATTTCTTAAACGGTAACAGATAAAAAGTTGGTTACATTAGACAAAATTTGCGCAGTTTCAAGCTCATTAAAATGGTGCCAAGAAACCTTTCATATTTACAGGGAGATTCAAAATATAGGACAAAAAATAAATGAATTTAAAGAAATGACCATTTTAATTATTCCAATATTTTGAATCACCCAGTAGATATCAAAGATTTATTGGCATCATTTTAATGAGCACAAAACGGTGCAACTTTTGTCTAATTTAACCAACTTTCTATCTGTTGCCGTTTAAGAAATAATAATACTGTCCCTATGAAATAGAATGTTTTTATACGGGGTCCCTACAAAAAGCTTATTGGTCGCTAATATGGAAGAAGCTGTGAGTAAATATCGATATGATTTCAGAAAAGGAAGATCAATCACAGACAAATATTTACACTCAATGAAATCCAAGTAGAAAGTTACGAATTTAAGAAAGATACATTTGTACTATTTATAGACTTTAAACAAGGTTTCCACAGGATAAAGAGAGTTAGCTTTCGACAGGATAAAGAGAGTTAAACTATATTATGTAACATCATTGGAACTTGGAGCGAGCCACTAAATATTTTTATAAATATAAATATTCTCAATAGCAGAAGAAATCACTAGGAACAATATCACCGGAAGAAACGTTCTCATCTATACAGACCACGACTTTACTTAGGATTGGAAGTATCCATCAACAATGTGGTCACCTTAGGATGAATTATCAAAAGTCACGCCACAATCACTAGCCAAGAAGGCAGCCAATCAAATACTTTTTGAACCTGACCCTTCTGTTGGACTGACAACATCGGTAGTGACAGACCTAATTAAAGAAAGTTCCCCTGACTATAACTTGACATAATCTGCCTCTTATTACAGGCATTCTGACTGGTCATTGACAAGTAGGGAAGCATCTTCATATCATGGGGCTGTCAGAATCCGCACTCTGCGGGGGTGCAAAAAAAAGATGAGACCATCGAGCATATTCTCTACGATTGCCCGACGCTCTCAGTTATTAGAAGATTTGTGTTCGGCGAGTAACGGCTAACACCAGCCGATATAAGAGAAGCGGCGTTGATAACCTCATGAAATCTGTAGGCTGGCTCACGAGCTAGGACGTGTCTGTTATCTTAATAGGATGCAAAATGGACTTTGTGAGGCCTAAGGGCCATGGGTTAAAACTAGACATGGTATATTGGCTTTATAACATGGTGGTGAGACCGATAATAACATAAGCAGCTTTGGTGTGGTGGCCAAAGACACAGCAAAGGAAAGCAATAACGAGGCTAAGCAAGGTACAAAGACTTGCCTGCCTCGAAATAACCGGGGTAATGAAAACAACCCCCACAGCTGCAATTTAAGCACTAATAGGACTCCTACCTGTTCACAATGTGATACAAGGGGAGGCAAGATTAGGTGCTTACAGATTAGGGAATACACTGGGAAATCTTGACATTAGGCCAGGTCACATGAGTATCTCAAGGTTAGTGACAGGAGATGTGCTAGACATGAGATCAGACCACATAACCAAGAGGTACTCCTTTAATACTCCATTTGAGGTTTTAATACAGGAAAGAGCGGAGATCACCATAAGGGAGCCCAATGCCCAACGACAGGAACAAACCTGGTATACAGATGGGTCTAAGACTGTGGAAGGCACTGGGGCGGGAGTATTCTTCAAAAACCCTGGTACTAACCATAGCTATGTTATATGAATACATTTCTCGGTATTTCAGGCCGAGGTATACGCAATTTTGCAATGTGCACAAACGCAATGAAAGAGCAGTCGAAAATCAGCATATTCAAATAATGTCAGACAGCCAAGCGACACTTAAGGCCATATCGAGTCAGAAAGTTACATCGAGGCTGGTATGGGAATGCATCGAAGAACTAAGAACACTGGCAGACCGAAATAGAGTAAAACTATTTTGGGTGCCAGGTAAACCAAGGGATCGAAAGCAACGAAAAGGCTGACGAACTTGCAAAAAGAAGGTCAGAAGAAACACCGGAACCAGACACAAACCCAGGAGTACCAAAAAGTACAGTCCGGGGTTTCATAAACGACTGGATTCGAGAACAACATATTAACTATTGGGAAAGCACCCCAAAACAGGCACATGGAAAAGCCTTCATAGGAAGACCATGTCCCAAAAGAACTGGAGAACTACTCTTTATGAACAGGAACCAGTTGAAAGTGATAACAGAGTTTATGACTGGGCACGCCCCAGTAAAGGGACACTTATACAATGGGAACTCATGTGCCGACTATGTCACAAGAAACCAGAAACGGCCAAACACATACTGTGCGAATGCGAAGCTCTAGATCGCAAAAGACATGCTCTTTTTGGACAATCCCAGGTTGATACTACAACGTATAGAAGCCACTCACTCAAGGATCTGTACAAACTTGTACAAGGGACAAAGGTGACAGAGTGGGTGATATGAACTAATATGGGGTAAAACACAATAAGCCAATAGGCTTCAGTGTTATTCGGAGACATAGTCAGACGGGCCCAGGAAAAAAAAGGCCATGGGGCATAACCCACCCTCGACACGTTAAAGGTACATATACAGACAGTTCTAAATATGATCAAACCAACGCTTGAAGAGACGGTATTGGAAATGAAGTAACCGAAAACTTTGAGGTGATAGAAGGACTGAAGCAAGGCTACCCATTGTCTTCAGCATTATTTAACTATATAATACAGTATACAAAAAGCGATGATAAAATAGAACGGGACTACAATCTAAGAGGCACCAATGTTTGATATTTGTAGACGATATTGTCATAGCTACAAGAAATTTACAGAAACTGCAAGTTATATATTTACGACTAGAGCAAAGCACAGAGGAGGAAATGGGACTGGAAATAAAAGAAAAGAAGATGAAATATGTGACATTGAACGAAAAAGAATTTGTCAAAGATTGAAAATTCAAAGTGACAACAGCAAAGGAAAAATTCTACACCTTTGAAGAACTCCGCAAAAATAAATATCTAAAACAAAAAATAAAGTTAAATACGGAAAAAATCAGTTATATATGAGAATCACTAGGTATAACTCAACAAATCAAATAACGATTGATAATAGTAGCTACCTTTGTACAAACAATAGAGAGTTATTGCAGGTTCACTTAAGGTCAGTCACTATTAGTGCCGCTCTTATTTTACCATCAGAGCATGAGCAGATGTCTTACATTCTAGAACTGACTTTAATAAAGATTGTGCCTGTCCTTATCTGTATCTGTAAAGTAGATATTTATCATGACGATTTAATTCAAAATACGAGACCCAAATATTCCAGTTGGATAAATTTTAGCAACTAAAACGAAAAAAGTATAAAATGCTGTTACTAGCCGCCATTTTTGACAGAATTATTTTGGTTAATTATTTTCTATTTTATTGAAGTTTTATTCTCCATTTCTGTTTATTTCTTAATAATTGACTATTATCCCCCCTCCCCCAATAATGTTTTTAATGGCAACACTCTCAAGAGGTTAGTGAATAGGTATCCGGTCAGAAAATAAGACCAAAAAAAGGACATTTTACGTCGATTCTCTAAAATATACAGAGGTTTGGTAGTTAACAATATCTTTTGTTGCTCTTATTCTTATATTATTTATTGGGTCTCTTTAACTTTACAATCAATAAACAAAAACTTCGGATATTGAAAAATGCCCTCTATCGTACTACTTTGGTAATTACATAAAGCATTTAGCTGTTTATAAAGGTAATAAATATCTTACACGTCATTCCTATTTAAAATTCGATGAAAGCCCTCGTCTCTACATACGAGGGTAGTAGGTCAAATACATTTTTTCCTAAATCGTACTGTTTCGGAAATATTCAGCCCTAAACGTAAAATCAATAGAGGAGATTTTTAATAATAAATAATTTGAAATCATTAAATTTAATAATAATTTTCTTTTGCAAGGCAAATATTTTTAATCTACGAAAGCAGTAGAGAGGAAGCTTTATCGAACTCAAAATAAAAGGCTAGGCAAAATAAGAACAATTCTCCCGATGAGCGTTGAAGTTGGCGAGGATACTATCGACTATTTTCTACGCACGTTATTATCCAGTAACAATGAAGCGTTAGACTTCTCTTTAATGTTGTCAAAACATATTATCAAAACCGTAATTCTTACGAACAGGCACGTCATGATTTCCGCAATACTATTTTACTATTTCTATTTTCAGATTTGATCTTCCGAATTTTTCTCAAAGTTCTAACCCCACTTTTTGATCGCCGGTAGATTACGATGATTATAAAATGATTGCTGCAAGCTTGACGCGCCTGCTAATAAAAGTTACCGTTTTGTAACTGAATAATAATGTGGGTAAAACACCTCCAAACGGTACGTCACGATTCCCCCGCTCTTCAAAATTGCTCTTTATTTTGCCGAACCCGGTATCATAACTTCTATTTCTTCTTCAATGTTCATCCACTTGAAGCAAAATAAACGATAACGAAAATTCTGTTTATGTACCCCAGCCACGCTCACGACTTTCTGAAGAGCTATTTACATATATCGACCCAAAATTGACCATCTTCTTCAGAGAATGCGCGCTGAGGTAAGACACCCGTCTCATTTATAACATAACCTCAAAAATTGACTGATTCTGTTGGTTACATCTAAAATTCAATCCCGAATTCTAGATGCTCGTATAACTCTGTCATTGAGGTAGAATCTTTATATACAGGGGTTCTCAAAACCCTTATCCTTAACAAATTGACTTTATTTGTGTTGTAAAGCGATATTCTGTCGATGACTCTTCGAAAAATGCCTTACTGTTAACCTCCAAAATGCCAATCTGAAATCCGGACTGTAGAAAGCGTAAATAAATGGATTAATGGCGGAGTTTATCCAACCCAGCCATGTTAAATACGACATGATCAATTTGTTGATCTCGTTTGTGTTGATGAAAGGAGTGAGGAGATAAAATATGAAGAATGGTAACCAACAAGCTATGAATCCTCCGATGACGATGCTCAACGTTTGAGCCGTTTTCGTTTCTCTTCTGAACGAAGACACTCTGGAGGCTGGTTCGTAGTTAAGGATGGACGTGTCTAAAGTAAGAGATTCTGGCCTCGCTTGACGCAGAGGAAAGGATGCCCTGTATAAGCTGGCAGCTCTGGATGGAGTTAAAGGCTCGTGGACATGGTTCGAATACGAATAGTTGGCTCTGAGAGATCTTGATTGGGTGATTGGTTGTTTCTTTGGTTGATCGTTGTGGTTTTGTGGTTCTGGTGAATGGGTGCTGCAAACAGAAAAAAATAATCATAATTGATTTATTTAGTGTGTTTAACATAGAAAGGTAAAAATTTTAAGTTTTGGAATTCAAGTGATTTAGAAAGATTAAAATATACGCCATTTGGCAAACACTCATCTAAGTAGGTAGGTATATAAGGTGTTGCGGTTTTAGAATTAATTTTCCTCTATAATTTGCCGTACGATTGGACAATAACTTACTTCGAAATTCGTAAATTGGCTTCTTCGCATTCTGAGGATCCTCTGTCTATGTCAGATTCTTCTTTGGCATTGTAGATTAATTTCTGATTTTTCTGAAAAAAAAAAAAAAAAAAAAAAAATATTTTCACTCTTGAAACATTTTATGATAAATTTCGCAAACATTTTTAGTATATATTATTTATATTATTGCGAAATAAATGAATGTTGAAATAGAATAGAATATAAGAGATTTTTATTAAAAAGGAAGATTAACAGTCTACAAAATAAGCACACTACCAATCGCCCTATTGATTGTATTTGCCAAGTGTTTACTTTGAAATTATCAGTGAAATTTTGAGCTCTTACACTGCGCAGTAGATTGAGTAATTGTATAGTATGTATAGCTTCACTCGATAGAGACAGCCAGTGTTGCCAATGACGAGGATTTTAAGTCAGGTTTTAAAATCACTTCGTAAGTCACTATTGCGTTTATTGATGATTTCAGGTAAAATCAGGTATTCGCATCTGTACTTTTAGAATGGGGATTGTCGCCGCGCGTTTCACCCTGGCAGTCTTTTGGCATTGAACTATGGAGTGTTGAACAAAAACCTGTCAAATATACGAACATAACGGCAACGATACACATTACCTAAGCCACATACTTTGATTTTCTTTTACTATACGGAGAATGGTCGCACTGCGCAGCTTTCGGAGTGCCTTTTGAAAGGAGATAGAAAACTCCGCCATTTTGATCCCTTATTACGTGTTGCCTACATCTTGGTGCAATATTTTTAATAGGTGTGCGTTTTAATCATCCGCTTCTGCTTCGGAATTGTCGGTTTTCTTGTTTTAATCTGACAGGTTAAAACGACTAAACCAACAATTCCGGAAGCAGAAGCGGATGATTAAAACGCATCTGATATTTTGCTTGCTGCTGTCAGTGTCAGTGAATATTATTTTTGGAGTCACCGTTTATTGCTAAAGAATCAGTTAGCTCACTCGGACCAGTTGAAAGTTCCAAAATAACATCCACTCCAGGGATACAAATTCAGGATACGTAGAAGACTGCTGCTTTATTATAGGCGGTTGTCATATATTGTATTATCCGAGTTGCACAGTGTATAAACTGGAACATTGAGATCAAAAGTGCCGACGCAGAGTGAGCGATCTGATTCTTTAGCTATAAACTGTGGCAAAGGAATCAAAATGGCCGCGCCATATGTTGGGTGTGTCGGACCTCTCTCTTGCCTCGTATAGTAATCAAAGTATGTGATGTGACCACATACTTTGATTTTCTTTTACTATACGGAGAATGGTCGCACTGCGCAGCTTTCTGAGTGCCTTTTAAAAGGAGATAGAAAACTCCGCCATTTTGAACCCTTATTACGTGTTGCCTACATCTTGGCGCAATATTTTTAATAGGTGCGTTTTAATCATCCGCTTCTGCTTCGGAGTTGTCGGTGTTCTTGTTTTAATCTGACAGGTTAAAAATACTAAAGCGACAATTCCGGAAGCAGAAGCGGATGATTAAAACGCACCTGATATTTTGCTTGCTACTGTCAGTGTCAGTGATTATTATTTTTGAAGTCACAGTTTATTGCTAAAGAATCAGTTAGCTCACTCGGACCAGTTGAAAGTTCCAAAATAACATCCACTCCAGTGATACAAATTCAGGATACGCAGAAGACTGCATTTTTATTATAGGCGGTTGTCATATATTGTATTATCCGAGTTTCACAGTGTATAAACTGAAACATTGAGATCCAAAGTGCCGACGCAGAGTGAGCGATCTGATTCTTTAGCTGTAAACTGTGTTACAGGGTTCAAAATGGCCGCGCCCTATGTTGGGCGTGTCGGACCTCTCTCTTGCCTCGTATAGTAATTAGTAAGTATGTGGATGTGACCTAAGCACATTACCGATAAAATCTTAGATAAAAATTTGGACTTTAACCTAGATTTATAACTGACATAAGTTATAATTTTAATTAAAAATGCCATACAGAATACAAAATTAGAATTACCATCTGGCTATTTATATAACCTAGTGTTAAATTTTAATATATCCTTGACGAAATTTAGTTAGTTTTTAGGCTGTTTTTTTGCTAGGTTGATACTTTTAGTTATAAGGTAAAATTGAATGAAAACTAGAACAAATTCTATTTACCGTGAAATTTTTTTGTTATTTAAAGTATATTATCAATGAAACTTACCCTTGGATGTGAGGTGTCTATATGAGCCAGTTGGTCATGTCTTTGGGCGACGACGCATGAAATTTTCACATAAACATACAGCATCACTACCATTGGTATGAAAAAGGATCCCATAGCGGAAAAAATCACATAGCCCGTATTTTTATTGTACCTGCAGGTTTTTCCTTCGTGTTTTCCAGGTTCATACCTGAAAATTTTGAAAATATTAATTATTGTTTCGATTATATAGTAGTACTAATAGGTAGGTCGTATGTTTGAATCTGTTTCGTTTGAAAACCCAAATCTGTATAAATACACATGTATTTAACATGGGGATATGTACTCATTAGCCATTAATACTTAGTAATGTCCGATTACAGTAAGAAGAACACATCTACGTCATAAACATAAAATATATATTATCTTTGAGTACAATTATAAATAAATAAATTGTTTGGTTTAAAAAATAATTCAGTAACAGTACGTTACTAAACTCAGTATGTGACGATCACCAACGCGTGACTCCACAAGTGATGACGCAGCTGTGTTCTTCTTACAATAGCATTTATTTATTGTGGCACTTCAGACTTGCTCTCGAATATGCTAGACGTCTTTGGACTAAAAATCGATGCTTAGGGTATCGGTGCGTCCACCAGAATTGTTGTATCTAGGTGTTTTGTCAACATTCATGAACGGGTTCAGTATATTTTAGAACGACGGCTCACTTCGACTGATTGTGAACATCCGAGTCTCATATAGATTTCGCAGGTTGGCTTATTTGATCGAATAAAAGCTTCGAGCATATATATTGCTCGAAGAATAAAAGGCGCAACCAAAACAGAGAGGGACTTAAGGGATTAAAGCAGGACCGGAATGGTCGTAGATATCTGGCATGATTTTACACCCTCCTTAAGAGATAGTTCGTCCTGAAACTATAACGAAATTGGGACTAAATGATTGGAAACCATACTTTTGACATATATTTGCCGATGGTCTTATTCAATCGCTATACCATTCCATCCGACTATCAATGCAGCACTGCAATTCTGTTTTTTTGTGCCTAGTCTTCTACGGGACCGTACTCTTGTTCTTCTTCTTTAATTTTGGTAAAGGCTCACTCACCGTTAACTACGGTTGTTTTTGGTAGTGCAGTTTCTTTGGATTCTGTTCTGATGCAGTGAGAACACTTTTATGGGTACGGTCTCCTAAAAAGAGAATCGGTATTTCTGTGGATTATTCCGGCTCGATATTCTATCTTAAAGTCGTACCTACTCTTGAAGTCGTTCAATCCATCTGGCTATTTGACCCTTTACAGATTCGGCTTAAATTTTCTTGAGTATAGGAAAAAATTATATAGAGCAACATAAAGAAGACTATTTATGTAAAGCGAGAATAAAAGAGAGAAAGCAGAAGTAGAGCGCTGGCAATCCAACATGTGAACCATACAAATTCAGTCTAGACCAGATCAAGTCCATAGCACGTGAAGATAAAACAATAGATCCTAGTTTTCGTTTTAAAATAACTAGGTATTAATGTACCGAACGTTATTTATATTACTTGTGAAAAAATACAAATAGTGAAATGGTTCTATGGGGGTCATTCGGTTCAAAATATTATAAATTTAAATACAGTTGCACTTGGGCCACTTCCTACAGATAATGCATAATTTTGGCTGCGTTAATAATTACTGCAAAAAGTATTGTCCCTCTAGGCAACCACGTCGAAATAAATTGACGCAAGAACTGGAAATTAGGAAAACGCAAGTCTGCGTTAGCTGAAGCTATACCGTCTTCAAGAAGACAAATTGCCGCTAAAATTGTCTTGAAAGAGAGACGGGTACGAAATATTTTAAAAAGAAACGGGTATTTCTGTTTTAAGGTACACTTCGCGTCATATAAAACTGACACACTTTTTTCTCTCAATGTAAAACTAACTTATTTTAAAAATAACAATCTGTCAAAGTTTGTTAAAAGCGCATTGCTACGATGCCCGGTCATTTAAGTAAGTTTTATAAAATGCAAGTGATTTCCAAAATAGCGGATGGTTGGTCCATTAGACGACTGGCTTAAGTATTTAATAGAAATAAAACCATGGATTTAGAGAACTAAAAGAAGAGGGACAACGATCAAACTGAAAAAGAGAAAATGAGAAAACAGTTATAACTACAGCACAACAAGATGAAACATCAACTGATTATTTAAGGAAGCATCTCTTCAATACAACAAGACAGGCAAAAGTTAAAATAAACTTTAATGCTTCAATAACAACAGCATTAAGAAGAATTAGAAAAACTGAGTTGAAGAATTGTCAAAAATACAAACTTAGTGAAGTAAATAAACATAAAAAATTATCTTTGCCTTAAATTAGGTTTTAAATGATACAGTAAATTTTTGGGGGTCGGATAATTTTTTCTGACGAAAAAGTGTTCCAATTACATCATGGTGGATATATTAGAGTTTATAGACTGCCTAGAAATAGGTTTATTAAAAATTATTTTACTTTTTATGTTAAATCCGGACGATTTTCTATAAATGTTTGAGTTTGGATGTATAGAGGAGGTTTAGGAATGTGTTGAAGAATCAAAGGAAGATTAAATGCGAGAAACTATTTAAACATTTTAGATAATGTGATGTTGCCATCGGTTAGGGTAATCTTCCCCCCCTTAATTTTATTTTCCACCATGACAATTGCTCAGTACACACCGAGTAATTTTGTTGAAAGTAATAATGAAACTTGGGCCTTTAAAAGTCTAGATATTAATCAAACTTAGAACGTTTGGTGACTTATGACAAAAAAATTAAAAAACTTAAATTTAACTCCCTAAAACAGAGAACATTTATAGAATCTTATTGAAGAAACCTGGGAAAGCTTGGCAGAAGATAAAAATGTATCAATAAATTTAATTAACTCAGTGCCTAGAAAAATACAAAAAATTATTGATAATAATGAAGCTATGACAAGATATTCATTATTTATTTCATCTGTTTCCAATAGTGATATGTATTTAAATTTCACACATTCATTTTAAATTTAAGTTACTCTTTTTGCATTAATGCTGTACTAAATATTTTCATTGCATTTTATTGCTTTACAAAATTAGTTATATCATTACATCTACTAATATTTTCGTTGTGCCGGCAACGTTGTCCTAGAAATTATAACCTATAAAGTAGTTTAACATTTACACATTTTAAAAGATCAATTTGCACAGCTTAAAAAGCCCGATTTCTCGTTATAAGGGTTTTACCAGTTTTATATGACGCAAAGTGAACACTCAAGACATTTTTACTGACAACCATTTTAAACGAATGGAGTTTAATAGTAATAATGAAAACAACAAATCACAATATAATTTTTTTTAAAAATATTTTATTTGCAGATGAATCTTCCTTCACTCTCCATAATCTATTCGTTTTACGCGTTTGGATAATAAACACTTAAGTATAGCTGGACACACACAATATCCGCAAAAACTGAATATCTGGGCAGGAATGTCATCGGTCAGTTTTTCAGATCCGATAATAAAGGCTGTTTTTGATTTGTCTGCTGGGTTCGTTTCTGCCTGCCAATAGCCAGAAATTAAGCATAAAGTAAATAAAATGGAGACTGAAAAGGCCCAAATAAGGCAAAGAGATACTTAAGGGATTAGAGTAGGACCAAATTGATGATTGTTTTTTGTTACAGCCACTGTTGCTCGGGTGTCGTGTTGATGTTGTATTGTATCGTCTGTATTGGGCCTTAAATTATATCGTTTCTTCTTGTGCTATTTACAATTAATTAATTTTAAATCAATGAAAGTAGGTCCGAATTTTTGATTCTACCAATACTGTATAACAAGCAAGAAACGCCACTGGATAATGAAAATCACTTTAAAATAAAAAATTTATTACTCGGAAAATCGTTTGCAAATAACGAAGCCGCATTATTATTACAATAGGCTGTCAGCCGCCTAATAATTTAATTTTATATCTTTTGAAATAAACTTTTGTATTGAAATGGAAAAATGCTAACCTACATTTCTCGTGTACATGGGCGGTTAACGACACGTTTATTTAAATAGCTACTTATGATACCAGTTGCGAAATACCTTATTTTATGTAACGAGTGAATATTTTCGAGACGAGCAGAGCGAGGTCCCGAATGTATCAATGAATTACAAAAACGGCATTGTTACACACAATATTTTTTTCTAATTTTGATTATATTATTTATAAAATTCTTTTGTTGACAAATAGTTGCCCAGCTAGCACATAACGTTGCCAAGCCTTTTGGCGATGTTGCTTTAAGGGAACGTAATACCATTACTATACAACGTACATGCAACATGCATAAGATATTGTTGAGGGAAATCGAAACCTCGCAAAACTTCTATTTGTTATGTGAACAAAACGCAATAAAGTAATTTGCTTAAAAAAATATACACAAGAAGTACTGTGAACATCACAATCTGAATTCGGATCGTTTATGTTTAGTCAATTGTCACTTATCACTTTCTTGTCATTTGTCAATCTTGTGAACCTTTAAGACATACCTTATATAGATATACTTTTGTACAATCGTTCACCATTTAAGCTTTTTAGTGAACCTTTGCAATATTGGTACCTTATTATACTATTTAGCTAATTTTGTCCAATTGTTAAGTGTTACGTAGCTTCTACTTTATCGCACACGTGTAATTGCGTTTACTATATATGTATCTACCTCTACTTTTGTGATATTGGTAGTTGATTTCAAGAACATTTTAATAATAAATATTTTGTTTTATTTGAAATTTTCATGTCTCGATTGAGATTTTACTAAAACCTCATCAGCCTCTCTGTATTATATTACACAAAGAACAATATGGTGTCTCCATGGATGGACTTTATACTTGTAAAAATATTTATTTTAAATTAAAAAAAAGTTATTTTTCATAATTCCTCAATGTGAATCGTATTTATTTAACAAACAAGTTTCATAATGTTCAACATATTATGCAACTGGTTGCGTAAAGTAGATCATTTTGACAGTTGTTGCGATTGCAAAAAATGTCACTTTATATGTCAAAATTAGAAAAGTACTTTTTCTTACTTTTGTTTACAGGATAATTTAAATTAAATAATGGAAGGACATTTTCAAACGTACAGTAGATTTTTTGTCTTGTAAAATAATGACTAATCGATAAAAATATATAAATAATAATAAAAACGCAAAAATTATTATTTCATAAAAACTTCGCCACTGAAATTTTTACGACGTATTCATAAAACAAATTACTTAGAAATTATTGGCAAATAAATATTTTAAAATCAATTTTACGTTCGAATTTTATAAATACTCGGCCCGGCCCGAAAGATGTCAAATTTTATTGATACTTTGAAATTTTGTAATTTTACACACAAAGCGTAATAGATAAAAGTGGGTTATAATCACAGTGATTTGTTTATTATTGGCAATTCAGATGTGCGATTCAGGCTAAGCTGTACGCCCTCTGTAAGATATTTTTGAAAGATGATTGTGTGTAGGTATGTTCCAGTGTTGCCAACCAGGGGCGGATTTAGGATTCGTTCTAGGAAGGGGCGCTGCAAAGATTTGTTGGCGAGAAATATATATCTAATTTACCCGATTTTTCTTGTTATATTTATTCAGTACAAAATATTTTTGGATAAATTATTTTTGGACAAATTATTTTGGGACAAATTATTTTGGGACAAATTATTTTTGGATCTTTTACTTAAAAAATCTTAATTACCAAAAGACAAATGTTTACCTAAAATTACAAAATCAATTTATCTCTGTTTAGCTGAAGAAGGTTATTCTGCTCCTCAAAAGTAATCATATTTGCATAAGAAAGGAAAAACAAAAACGCGACAAGACTTACCATCCAAATATTGGAGGACAGGATATCAACAATGAACTTATCCATACTACTAAGATCATACTAAGGGCCAGTCTTTTGGATCTTCGATTTCTGGAATACCTCAATGGTTGAGTAACTGCTAGATACCTATCAACGCTAATGGCACATAGACTGAGAATGGAAGCAGTACAGAGTAAAACGTCTAAGGAAATCCATATGTCGCAGAGGACCCAACCGAGTTCCCACACCCCTGAAAAAATAATACAAAGATATTAGTATACTTGTTTAACTCTCTGTACGATTTTAAATACTAAAACCATCCCTGTTACAACACAGAAGCTTTAGTTTCAGTTTTCAATAGACTTTCGTGTGTCACATCTAATACATATATCACATCGAGCACCACAGTTCACATTTTCATACCAAATAGAAGCCGGCATTAACTTTTTTAATTATCACATTACTCTTCTTAAATAAAAAGACAATTTGAGCAATATTTATTTCTTCAGTCAATGTAATTACAAGTGTACAAAGTTTTTATTTCGTTTTAATCACCACTGATCTCTCATGAAGGTAAAAAAATATTCATGATCGTTTAGCTCTTCAATCCTGTAAATATGATTCACCCCTCATCGAAGGTAAACAGGGTGAAATCACTTATTATTAATGAAAATTTGCTACATTGAAACGGATATAATCTATCATTATAAAAAAACACCTAGAGCCAACTTTCCAATTTAGTTTTAGGCAACATAGCGCCATAGAGTGGTTACAACTGCAAGAAATATCTTCCAAAATGGGAGCTACTGCATAGCGGCATCCTAAATATTTCCTAATCATGTAACTAAGAGTAAAAGAAAATACAACTAAATCAGCCAATATTGCGTTTTCATTAAAGAAAAAAATGATGAGTTACATCACTTAAAAAATAAGTCTCAACAGTCATCTAAAATTATTAGGGCCAAAAGAAATCAAATGGAAACTGTATTGCTTTATGAATTACAAATGACAAGTTATATTAGGAGAGCCCACTGCAAATTTCGACCGTCATCTGATAACAAAGTGGAATATGCTCCAAAGGCATGTAACAATATTGTACTTTATCAAATGGCAAATTATTTTAAATTCAAAAAATCACATAAGACATGCCAGCGATAATTGTGTTTGATCTGAAAATTACAATCCTAATTCCTTGTGAACCTAGAAACCTGAATTATTAATATTTTTACTTACCTTTTAAACCATGTGTATGTGTGAAAGGAAGAAGGATGGTATTGTATAAACCATTTGCAGAGATAGTCAATAATAATTATAAACTCTTGTTAGACAACTCTTTTAAACCATAATCATATTAGTTTTTTTTTGTCGTTTCTATGGCAACCTGTAAAAATGAATCACAACAATAAGTATACAAATAAATTTTCAAAATAGCAAATATTGATTAATATTTTTAATGATTTTTTACCAATTAATCGTGGATATATGTTTTTGTGCGATGTTAAGAGGAAGATATATTTGAATATGATATTTTCTTGAAAACCTTTAGGACAAACAAAATTAGCGGTTTTATGTCTTTTTTAATATACATTTTTTTTAACCACTCTGCTCAGGATAGGGATAGTCACAGGTGCCATTTACATGCTTTCGGAGTATATTTCATTTCGTTATCAGATGACGGTAAAAATTTGGGCTATAAGCTTAGATAATAAAATCCTTACTTACAAAATTGTTCTGAGACCTATTTAGATTTACAAGATCCAGCTAATGACTCAAATATGAGTACTTTGATAAATGTGCAACGCTGTGCATCTTCATCTCCATGTATTCACTGTAAAGAATCTATTACTTCTATTAGTTCTAAATACATAGACAAACTAGAGACCCATCCAAACAAACTGGTCAACAACCTTATTCTGCAGCGAAGGAACAGAGACCTAAAAAGATTGGACCAATTACACCTCCGTGAACTCAAACCATAACCAACTCTGTAACGTAGTGGTACAAAAAAGACACGCCACTGGGCCCGCTTGTAATGTGATATTGATTATTGCTTATTATTTGCGTTTAAATAGTTTTCAATAATAAAGAAAGAAAAAAAATAAGTAAACAATAGAAAGAGTTTAGGTTTTACTTCTATTTAGTAATCCCACGGTAGACTAAAAGGTATATTAACACCCATTTAAAAACAAAAGAAAACGTGGTTAAAATTGATCAAGATTACAAGTTAAAATACACTGGGTTTTCTAGGATATTCTTACCGAACTTGTAAATTGGCGCTAATAGTTTATGGATCAAAGATTGTAGAGTTTTTCATTTTGTAGAATGCACAATCGCTTTGCAAAGCTCCTCACCGGCTGACTCGGTAGCAGAAAAAGAAAAAACAAAACTCCTTAGATCTAACTCCAGTTCCAGCTCCAAAAGCGACAATTCTAGTAGATCAACAAGAAGTACCGTTAAGAAATAACTTTTACAATAATATTTTTGTCCAACTCTATTAAAAATTTATTTTACGTTCCTTCAAATTCCATTTAACTTTATTTTTATATTTTGGTAAATATTGATTTTTGTTTGTAATTAATAAATAGCTGTTTAATTATGTTTAAATCATTTTCAGTTTGCCACGTTAATGCTAGATCTGTTTTGTCAAATTTTATCGAATTTAAAAATGCTGTACATAATCAGTTCGACTTAATCACGGTATCTGAAACATGGTTTAACAATTTAATAAGGAACGAATCGGTTGCCTTACCAGGATATAGACTTTTTAGACGAGATAGAACCAAAAAGAGGGGCGGAGGGGTTGCTATTTATGCTAGGCAATATTTTAATTGCAAATATATTTTAAATTTAGAAAAAACTGAATCGGAACAACTGTGGATTTCAATAAATATTAATAATAAAAATTACGCCTTGTGTTCCATCTATAGACCTTCCGATTTTCCATTTCAACAATTTTTAGATGAATTTGATAACTGTTTAAACGAAATAGCACCCAAATTTGATTACATTATTGCCGGAGGAGATTTTAATATCAACTATTTGGACCCCGAGAGTGCACCGAGTAAATTAATACAAACTATTCAAGATTCGTATGAGCTAATACAGGTAATTGATCAACCTACGAGAGGGGTAAAATTGCTTGATCTCATTTTGTGCTCGGATAATCTTAAAATTGGAAATATAGATGTACGTGAATGTTCTATTTTATCAGATCACTCAATTCTTTCATGCACTATTGGATGCCAAATTAATAAACCTGAACCATTTTTGTATACATTCCGAGACTGTAAACGCTTTCAAGTCGCTGACTTCCTTCAGGATCTACAAAATGCGGATTTTAATAAAATAATACTAGCCGATAATATTGATTTAAAAATTGAAACATTAAATATTTTAATTTTAAATTTGTTTGAAAAACATGCTCCCAAAAGAATTATCAAAATAAGCAAAATAAAATCACCCTGGCTTACCGATACTCTAAAATGTATGATGAAATTGAGGGATAAAGCTTTACAAAAATTCAATAAATTTAAAAACCCACATCACTGGGACTTTTATAAGACATTACGTAACGAGGTCAATTACGCAATTAAACGAGAAAAAAGAGCTTACTTAGAATTCAGGCTGCGAAGTAAAAATAACATTTGGAAAGAATTAAAACATTTAGATATAATTCACAATAATAAAAAATTGCCTTTGAATATTCCTTTCCACCTGCAAAAACCTGACACGATCAACAATTATTTTATTAATGGTATTGGAGGCAGTGATTCGCCAGACCCAAATATCCTGGAGAATTATAGCACATCGACTGTCGTAAATGTTGACACATTTAATTTTAAAACTGTACAGGAATTGAAAGTCTATGAAAAACTGCTCTCCTTAAAATCCAATGCCACCGATCCGGACGAGATAAATATTACCATGCTATTGCACTGCTGTCCTCTTATACTTCAATACCTCACTCACATTTTTAACTTCTGCCTTAGTAATTCTACATTTCCTTCGCTATGGAAAAAATCTCGAGTAATACCTCTTCCAAAAACAGACAATCCATCGGAATATAGCCAACTAAGACCTATAAGCATTCTTTGTACACTGTCCAAAGTATTAGAAAAAATAATGGGAGAACAAATAAGACTGCACATCTCCCAATTTGATATATTACCTATAAATCAGTCAGGATTTCGCCCAAATCACAGCTGTACTACTGCACTACTTAAGGTTTTAGATGATATTTATTATGCAATTGATACTAACAAGCTTTGCATATTAGTACTCTTAGACTATTCTAAAGCATTTGACAAAATCAATCACAGTATGCTTAGATCCATTTGTCATTATATAGGATTTAGTAGTTCTTCCTTAAATCTGCTAAAATCATATCTAGACCAACGGACTCAAAAGGTCGTTCTAGGCGGAAAAAGTTCAAACGATATTTTAGTCACTCGCGGCGTACCTCAAGGGTCTATTCTAGGGCCTCTTTTATTCTCTTTATATACTTCGCAATTTCATAGACACCTTAAATATATGAAATCACACTTTTATGGAGATGATACACAACTCTATCTTGAATATAAAGAATCTGAAATTGAAGAAGCTATACATAATATAAATGATGACTTGAGAACATTATCAGAATTGTCCACAAAATTCTGTCTATCAATTAATGGCACTAAATCTAAATCTATGTTATTTGGTCGAAAATTAGCTAAAAATCGTGTAAAAAATTCTGCCACTGTTCAGATTGATAATAAACCAATTGTTTTTTCAGACTGTGAAAAAAATTTAGGACTATATATTGACGACTCCCTCACTTTTTCTCAGAATACATCTTTTGTGGTAAAAAAAGCTTTCTCAAATTTAAAACTTGTATATTCGCACAGACACTTATTAAATAAGCAGGCTAAGATGTTACTATGTGACGGTTTAGTTCTTTCACAACTAAATTACGGCGATGTAATTTATGGACCTGCTTTATCGCAATTTAACAAAAATCGTCTTCAGCGTATTCAAAATGCATGTATACGACTTATTTGCGGACTAAGACGTCGTAGTTCTACTTCACATCACATTGCGAAACTTGGCTGGTTGAATTTAAATAACCGAAGAGTACTACATGCCTCTTTACTTTTCAAAAAAATTATACTTACCAAAAAACCTACGTACCTGTACGAAAAAATTAAAAAAAGATCTGAGGTTCACAACATAAATGTTAGATTTAAAGACAGCATATCACTGCCAAAACATAACACAGCGCTGTTCCGATCCAGTTTCTCGTACAATATGGCTAAAATCTACAATCTCATCCCTACCAAATTTAAAACTCTACCTATTTCTAACTACAAGAAAAAAATAAAAGAATGCTTACTTAATGGAAGTATTCAATTTAAATTTTAATTTAATATAATTGATGACGGACCAACAAGCAGATCTACCTATCTCATTAACCAAACTGATTTTGTGAACATTTTTCCTTATTAATAATTATATTGTAATTATTTTATTATTTCAGTTTATTTTATAATTTTAGTTTATTTTATTATTCTAGTTTATTTTATTTTACTAGGTTAAGTGGAAGAGCAGATTCTACGGAAGATTCGACATAATCCTCCCAAGAAATCTGAACTCTGCCTTTTGACTGTGAAATATCAATGTATCTACATGAATTATTGTTTTATTTGTCTCTTTGTAATTAACAGTCAATTAAAACCTTTATTATTATTATTATTATTATTAAGTATGTTTTTAAACATTTTACATATCAATCCTGTTCTGGGAAAATAACTTAGCTAAGAGCATCTCAAATTTTTTTGCTAACAACGTAGATAACATTAAAGTATCTTTCAAATCAATTAATAAATTAGACGCTCATCTAGTCAACACAAAAGACAAAACGAATTTGTTAGACAAGAGTGGAGTATACAGGTTGCAATGCAGCGATTGCGATGCCAGTTATATTAGCAGAACTTGCAGATCTTTGGGAGTCCGGATAGGCGAGCACATCAAGAAGCCGGATACATCTGCATTTGGACATCACTTGAGGTTCAATCAACATAATTTTAGCCCGACAAAAAATTCCAAATTGGTCAATTTGAACACAAAAAATTTCAACTTAACAGATTTTCATAAAGATGTTTATATTACCCTTAAAAGAGACAACAATATCCTCTGTCTCAACACTCAAGTGAACCTTAACAGAAATTTCATACCACTCCATAAACAACTCAGTTAACCCTCGATGATGATGAATGTAAGTCCAAGTCGCTCAATGTAAGCCTTTGAGAGCCATCCCCTCCTAAACTCGATTTCACCCATCAAAGCCTACCTTTGGGACCATGGTACTTCTATGATTATAATTTTTTTGTTCTCTATTGTGTCTCACTCCAACTATGAGTATGTTTTTTGAGTGATTTAGAATTTTTAGGACTAAACATCAGATTCACCTCTAGGGACCGCGGGTTCAGTTGTGCCATCTTGGGTTCTCTGAAAAAAGTTCTGCAGAGCCCGCGCTGGCACATCAGAATCACGCGAGTGATATTTTTGTTTTGTCTTGACATTAAAAGGATCATTAAAAAGATCAATTCATTAAACATTTATTTAAATTTAACTAACAAATAAATCAAATTTGAAAAATTTTCTTTAAATTCAATACCAACAAATTTTGATTTCCTCTAACCACCTTTAATCACTCGAATCACACTTGGAGAAACATGTTCCTCACTGAGATGAACGCACCTCCTCTCTTGACATTTGACAGGTCAATGTCTTTGAGTGTCGCTTGTCACCACTGTCATATGGACACGGTTAAACAATATTAATAAAAATGAATGTATAAAGCAATTTAAATTTGAAAATATTAATAGTAATAATTATGATTTAGCAAGTAGTTGTGAATCTCCAGAAATATCTAAATTTGGGAGCGAGGATGACTAAGAACCTGGTGGATATGTTTGTGGATAGTAGGTAGACTTTTATACAATTATAATGTAAGGAAAAAAAAACCATCAGTTTTTTCCATTGGCCTTTTGCGTTTAACCTTTTTTGTATTAACTATTGTAAATTTAAATTTCAATATATTTTCCACAGTCACCCTCTATTTGTAAATTTTTTTAAATTTTGAACTAATTTGTTAACTTGTTTTCAACTGTACTCAATGCGAATAGTGAAGGTGGTATAATTCCTTAGTTCCACAGAAGCTAACTTGCTTCTGGAGATCAGATATGATGTTTTAGGGGCTTATCCCACATTCACTATTCCCAACACTGGGTTATGTCACTCTGTTTGTTATCTTTTAATTGTTAATTTGTTCAAAATTACCTTATAAATATAATTTTAACTTTTGACTTAAAAGTCTTACTCAGATTTTATTTTTACACATATTTATAAATTGTAAGTTTACATCCACAATTTTTGTAGACAAGCACTGATGATGGCACAATACCAAAAGCGCTTTGCATTTATTAATTAAAAAGTTTTGCACGAAATACAAGTCTTTCCTTTTGAATCTAAACTACGTGCACACAGCTGTCAACCTTTCTTAGTTATTTTAATTTTTTTTTATGTAATGAAAAAAAAACCGAATGAAAACAAACTGCTAATGATCAGCGGTGGTACGATGGCGGGAACCTGTGACGTGAAAGCGCCTCATGGGGGGGGGGGTTCTGACCCACAAACTCCCATGACTATGACACTGATATAAAGTAAATTCACAATTCTTGTTCAAAAAAGTTCATTTATTTTTCGACCCATTTCAGAAAAAACTACATATGGAATCAATGCCAACAAAAGTCTAGTGAAAACTGCATGTCGATATCTTTTTCCGTTCTCAAGTTACAGGTTGTTAAAATTTGTAAATTTATACAGATGGGCACCTTGTATTGTGATTTCTTCATAAAAAAACTATTAAATCCCATACAGCACACATTATTTCAGAAATGTTTCAGAAATATTTCAAACGTTTCAAACATATAACATTTCAAGCACAAGTTACTGAAATATTTCAGAAATATTTTAGTTAAATATTTCACTAAAAATGGTTCTGAAACATGGTACACATGTTACACAAAAGGTTACTAAACGGGCTATGTTTTACAACAAGTTACTTTTCTCAGTGTAAAAATAAGCGGAAAAAACGTCAACTGTCAATAAAAATGACCGCCTTGACATCAAAGGAGCCGACTCAAGCTGTCGTTACTGTATTATTAATTATACTGGGGTAGAATATTAGTTTATAGAGCATTCAATATAAAAACCGATACACGTCATCAATCAGTTGTGAAGTCATAGCCTTGCAGTGTTGCCCAATCTTCAAAATAGTCTAAGAATGTAGGAATTTTTAAAACTATGAGGTTACGTTTTTTGGCTATGTTATTAGGAACAACTAATTTTAAATGTATAATGAATTCTATATAAAAGCCAATGAAGGTCATTGATAATGTTTAAAGTTTTAGAAAAACACTGAATTTAATAGTAATAAATTTTGCACAACAGGTTTAAAATGACAAAAAAACGTTAGGTTAAGGATGAAAAAACAAACAAATTTTATTTAGGCTTGATTTAATTTACAATAAAAAATAATTATGTTCAGTTAGTTTGTAAACATCCATATTTAAAAGAAGTAACAATAGTTAGGTAATAAAATTATATGGGATAGTGTTATGAACTTAGGTTAAAAATATCCAAACTCTAATTAAGTTACTGCTAGATAAAGTGAAATGGTAGTGATGAAAAATTCAGAGAATTTTATTTAACAAGGTAGCCTAGTTATATTCAAGAATAATACAAGCTTAAGTAAACTGTAATTTAAACGATTGCATTTATGACGAGTTAACAATCAACCCCCATTTTTTGCAGTAAACACACTAGCGAACCTAGCGTATTTTTACTAGTACTCTGATCAATTTTAGAACTTACAGTTTGTTACACACTGATGTAAACCATAAAAAAATACTCACCAATAAGTGCATAAGCCACTGCAGGCGGCATGACGCAAATCCCCACCAACCAATCAGCCACCGCCAAGGACATGACGAAACAGTTGGTTACAGTGCGCAGGCGTCTCGTGGTGATGACCGCTAAGATTACCAGCGTATTTCCTATGATGACGACGAGAATAACGATGGTGAGCAAGATGGCGAGCGCCACGTGCTGGACGAAATTGTTGTTGATGTGATGAGAGGGTGCTGCCGCACCCACGCCCTCTGTTACGCTGGTGAAGTTCGGAGAGATCGTAGAGCCTGCCGTCAGTGTGTCGTTTGACATTCCTTGTCATTTCTGAAACAAAAAGAATCTAATTGAAGCATAATATAACAACAAACTCTTAATTAAATAGTTGGGTAAATATTTAATTTCAAGTGGTAAGATTCTTCTAACCTACTACGTACTACTGTGTCTCTCCAAAAAAAATCCTAGTTCATTTCTATAAAATGAAATACGCCAATAATTAATCTAAATACTATACAAGTAATTCGTAGAACCTAACACTATAGATAATTGGTATTAAAGTTTATTTATTGTCCTTTTATACCGTAATAGATTGTAAAATAATCATAGAGTTAAAAAAAATGTTTTTTAAAATTGGTTTAACAACAGTTCCGGCTAATATTAGTGAAATTGGAAAAACACTGGACATGAGAATTATAAAAGGTAAGCAGGAAAATAACTTTAACAAATACTTTTTAATCAGGGGAAACGTTTGGGATAACTGCACAAGAAACATTATATTTAATAAAATAAAGAAAATAAATTATAATATATTAAGTCATATGTTTGATTTATTATTTTTTTATGTTTTCTGCTATTTTTACGAATTTTCTACCAGTTTGTAAATACATCCATTGCATATTTTTTTTAATTATTTTAGTAAGTAATATTTTTCGTTAAGGCAATACAGGAGTAAATCAAAATGTTGTTTTTTGTCGCAACTTCAAAACACCTTGTAGCGAAATTGAGGCCAAATAATTTTATTTACATACTGTTTGCTGTAATCTCAGATATATTCCAAATAGTCTATTTTTTGATTCATTCCATTAGCTCATTTCTTCTGTTAGCTGCATTTTTTTTTAATAAAACGCTGTTAATTTTTATTAATGACGTAGCGATCATCAGTTACGTACAGTGGTCATTCTCCTTCTGCCAGAGCCTTGCTGTCTAGTAAAGTTTCCCGCACGGGGGTTTATATCTTATGCACAATACGTAAACACGTTTCTGCGCATGCAACTCCGCGCTTTGGTGCTCTAAAGTCCGTTTTACAATAACAAAATTGTATTAAGATTTAAAGCACATTGAATAATTTAATGACATCTCGTTCAGTAACACACAAAAAGTGTTGTTTCAAAAATTTTAATTCATATATTACAACAAATTAAAAAAACATGCCTTCACTTAGTTATTTGTACTATGTGAAGATGGCTTTCTGTCCACTGCATGACTGCTGGCTGCCCGCTACAGCGGGCCCCGCGCGCGCTGTCAACAAATGTGCGGTTATGTTATGGTTTTAGACGTTTTGGTTGTCGACGAAAACATGTGAGTGAAACTACTTTTATTTGTTTTAGTTTTTAGGATTATTTAAAATCATGTTAAGGTATTTTGATGCATTAACATGTCTTTACCAGGCACAATTCATTATAAACGCATAATTTCTAATTGTAATAGTATATTTTATAGGCCCATTTCAAACGTAAATTTTAACAACAATCATTTTTAAATTTCTTTCCGATATTGATCAAAGGAAGGAATGGTGTCGTATTTTAAACATTACACTCATTCCACTTACAACCAATCATTATACATTATGTGAAAATCATATTTTGATACAAAATTCTTTAGAAACAAATCGTTCAAGACTGCTAAAAGATTTGCGTTGCCTTGCTTTAGCACCCTCAAAACCAGATACATCAAAATTAGTAGTACTTAATAATATTGTTATCACACCTCCAAACAGATTACCTGTGAAGATAAAGTTCCTTATAATAATATATATAAAATTATTAAATGAAGCAGAATTTAAGTCAGGCCACTAGTTATATTGCAGGGTTTATTAAGAAACTTAATAGTTTTGACTGCAAAGAGTGTAAAGCTAATTTACAGACATGTTAAAAGACCATCGATACTTTTACTTATTTTAAAGAAAATGATGATAAAAGACGTTTGATTTATGTACAAAGAAATGTTATTGAATTTCTTTTAAAAATTCATGAAATTGTTTTACCACTTTTGGGTCACATTGATAACATAATTCAGAAAATTAAACTTTTTTTGCCAGACTATTTTGATTTTAAATGGTTTACATCAGAGGCGACTCGTGGCCTAGTCTACGAGGAGCCTACGGAGGCTACTTTTTAAAGGCACACCCTATATACTTAATAAAAATATATGTTTCTATTAAAATACAAAAAGCAGAAATATTACATTGTATTCTAATAGAAATATATTATAAGTATAAAGTATATAGGGTGCGCCAGCCTCCTCGTAGACTAGGCCACGTGTCGTCTCTAGTTTATATGTAAAGAACGTAAAACAGACGTCTTTTCTCATTTAGTTAAAACTTGTCTACCATTAATAATAAGACATTATTTTAATGATAGTATGAGGGCTGCGGCAATGTCTAAAAGACAAACAAAATAATTTAAAGTTACTGCATTTAATTTTTTTCTGTTTCAGTTTATATGGACGGTTGCTTTTGTCTTATTTCCTAAGATTCAAGAAGAATTTGTTGTTTTATTTTTTGTTTATTTTAAAAATTTATTTACTTAGGCATTAGTTTTCATATCAAGTATATTAATTATTTGTTGTGCAATTTCTGATTTTTTGAACCAAAAACGAAATCATGCAGGGTCGAATTTTAATTCTAAGGATGAGTGCGCTACGTTAATTTCCGTTATTCTGAAACAACAATTAGTCGAGAATTAATGAAGCAAATTTCAAAATTTTTTACATGGTTGAATAGAGAATAAAACCCCATGCCATTTAAATTTTTCGAAAGGGTTGCTTCCCTCCAGTAAGGGATGAAATTAAGGGTAAACTATTTATACAAAAATGTACACTGTAGAAATCAAAAATCCACGTGTCTCGGCGATTTTCCTAACAAGACTCCAGTAACGAGTTAGATAGGGGGGGGGGGGGGTAAGACTTATGGTGCTCACGGTATTCTTGACGACACCCTTCGTCGTGAAGCAGCACAAAGTATTTTCTACCGTATACCTGTCCTGACGCAGTACCGTAATAAATACCTTTCTCTCCACTTGCGCCGTTTCAACGCTGCGACGTAGTTAAATCGACGCCTTCACAACGCTATATAAAATTAGTGCATAATGTCTAGTATAGACGAATTTAATGTCTGTATTTTCAATGGCGAGTCAAAAGATTTATGTAACTTTCTTTGAGATACCACCGGGGTTTTGTTTGGACAAGGGCCTGACATTTTATTCAAAATATTATCAATGTAACCAATAAACCACATGTCCTGCGGGTATTCACCCCGAAAGACATCTGTTTTTCGATGGGTGGATTTAAGTATTTCAATAGAAATTATAAAAATCAATATTTTAGAGATATACAGGGTTGTATTATCTTGGATAAATTATACAAACCGAGATGGTAAAATTTAACAGTAAGTTAACCAACTGGTAAATGAACACTCTTCGTTAGCTCAAGGGGGGCACGTATACTAAGCCACCCATTCTACTAGGTTTAAAACATAAAGTATATGTGAAAATCAACACAGTAAGGTAACCAACTGGCCAATTGACGCTGTTCGTTACCTCCGTTGGTCATCACCTCTATGATCGTCGTAATAATTACCTAAGAGGGTACAATCAGGGCTGTCGCGGAGATATTTATAAATTCGAGAAAAAATTCGAGAAAAATGTACTAAATTGTACTAAATTTTAGGTGGACTGTCATTTTGTCATAACTGTCACGTATGTTGTCAGTTGTCATGTCAGATCTTGTGGAATGTCAACTGTAGGATGGATGGGCATTGTTTGCTTTTGTTGCTTATATATTTTGAAAGCAGGATTCTGCGAAATAGATAATTTGGAGGTCCCAATAATCTACTGCGCAGCATCCAGGAGTCGGTGACGGATTTCTGATCGTTATTGAAATATACCTTATATAAAATCTTTTTTTTTTAGGAAAAATACCGCCAATATTTACAATACTTACCCATATATCGGAAAACTTAGGCTTTCCATCATAGATGGTGCCACAAAGACGATCAGTATTTCAAATTGTACTAAATTGTCTATGATTTGACTTAAAATGTACTTTTGTACCTTGCCGTGAGAAATGTACTAAGTTTAGTACAATTGTACTGAAACGGCAGCCCTGGGTACAATCCTGTTTATATCTAGGATAGAATCAAGCTAAATAAAAATCAATACAGTAAGTTAACCTGCTGGCGAATTGACGCTGTTCTCAGGTGCAATCTCAGTAAATAGTACCAATTGTAATATGCTTTGCTAATTATTGCATCACATTTAAAGATGAAAAATAAAAGAGTTTAAATATAAATTTGTATGGTTTTATTTATCAATTGCAACTTTGCATCGAATCCTGGTTTATCTTACTTAAAATGATCATCAATCAATTAACTAGATGATCACTATTACTACTACTAGAGGAAAAATGCCAAATACAGTAAGTAAAATATAATATTGATTAAAAAAAATTTATATATATATTTTTTTAAGTGTGCATTATGGATTTAAAGTAATCATTATATCAATAAATCCTATGCAATTATGTGAACTTAAATAAGATTCTAAACTTAGATTTTATTGAGCAAAAATAATTGTATGTAGATCTTATTGGCTATTTTGTTAAAACTGAAATCGACACACTACAACATCAAAATTAATTAAAGTGTTATGTACTCGTATTATCTCAACGACAACAATTTATCACTATTTTTTTATTTAATATTGTAATGTGCCCCTGTGATAATTTTTTTTTCATGTTTTTGCCAAACGTTAGTCTAAAACCGAAACATAAAGTAAGAATTCTTCTGTTTACAAATACGCGAAATTTTTCGAATACAACATTCCAAACTGGAAACAAAAAAAAAGCCATTTTATACAGGTAATGTTTATAAAATACAATGCACAATGCCGTTTTTTTTTTAAACAAGCAATATTCATGAATAGCCATTTACGTTTTTCGCATATTCGCGTTTATTATAAATCTTTTTAATGTCGGAGTTTCTTGGACAGCTGAGGGTTGTTTGTAAACGATATATGGGAAACAAAGCCATTTGTGAAATTAATTTTACTTTG